TAGAGACGTACTAAGTAAACTTAGAATTAGCCTTAAAGTTATTATTATTAGTAGTAATAGGCGCTGCGTAATTAGCTATATTTAGACCTAGTTAGAGGTATTGCTAGTACTACTATTATATCTTGCGCTAAGTAACGTTATTAAGTAGACGCCTAGTAAATAGAGAAGCAACTAGTATAGCTATATAGTCTCTGTTTATATATTAAGTTGCGTAGCTACACTTTATTAAATATACTTAGAGTAAGTAGCTTAATAGTTAAAGCCTCTTACGTAGAAGTACCTAGCTATAGTAGAGAAGAGACCTACTAGCTAGCTAGTGTAGCGCCTACTAAGCCTGCTAGCAGAAAATAGAGAGTATTTCTATAGAGAAAGATCTAGGTTTAAGTTGTAGTTTGTCTATTTTTTTCTATTTTTTTTATTCTATAGCTAGAACGCAAAACTTCTTAAAACTTATAGGCTAACTAGCAACGTTCTATAAACTTCTTAAGACTTATAGGCTAACTAGCAATATTCTATAAACTTCTTAAGACTTATAGGCTAACTAGCAACGTTCTGTAAACTTCTTAAGACTTATAGGCTAACTAGCAATATTCTGTAAACTTCTTAAGACTTATAAGCTAATTGCCTAGTAGTTCTTATAGAGGTTGTAGACAAGAGATTTGCGCTTTTAGTAGTAACTACTATATTAATTTAGTAATTAGCGTGTTAGCAAGGCGTCTATAAAGCTAGAGCTAACTAGTAATATTCTATAAACTTCTTAAGACTTATAGGCTAATTGCCTAGTAAGTTCTTATAGAGGTTGTAGACAAGAGATTTGCGCTTTTAGTAGTAACTACTACACTAATTTAGTAATTAGCGTATTAGTAAGGCGCCTATAAAGCTAGAGCTAAAGAAGATAGCGCTATATATACTTAATAATAAAGTGTCTAGTTAGTTAGATATAGCCTTATCTTAGTGCTCTAGTTGCTTAGGTAGTTAGTTAGCTATAATAGCGTGTTAGCGAGGCGTCTATAAAGCTAGAGCTAAAAAAGGTAGCGCTATATATACTTAATAATAAAGTGTCTAGTTAGTTAGACATAGCCTTATCTTAGTGCTCTAGTTACTTAGGTAGTTAGTTAGCTATAGCTTTATCTTAGTGCTCTAGTTGCTTAGGCAGTTAGTTAGCTATAATAGTAATATGCAGTTCTCTAGCCTCTCTAGCTTTATAGGTAATATCTTTACTCTAATAGCGCGAAGTAGAAGAAGACAGCGCACTAGCCTAAGGTAGTAGGCTACTAGAAGAAAGAGGTAGAAAAGAAATAGTAGGTAATAGCGAGAACAGAGACGTGTGCGCTGTGCTTCTAGCAACGTTGTCTACTCTTCTAGTAACGTTGCAGAATAGTTCTAGTTTAACTAAAAGAGAGGTATATTTAGTAGCTAATATAGTAGGCTTCTACTTAATAGAGTTTCTTTAGTAGCTAATATAATAGGCTTCTACGTAATAGAGGTTTCTTTAGCAGCTAACGTAATAGGCTTCTACTAATAGATAGTTGTTTAGTAGCTAATAACGTTTACGTAGACTAAATAAGTTAAGATAAATTAAGTATAACTCTCTATTCTCTTACGCACCTAGAATAATTAGTAACGCTAGCAATCTTATAGAAACTTCTAAGCTAATTCTTTCTAGTAAGTACAACACTAGTAATCTTGTAGAAAGTTCTAAGCTAATTACGCTAGTAAGACCTACACGTAGCCTCTACTAGCCTTAATATTAATTCTACCTTAACGTAGTTTTAACTACGTAGTAAGTAGATAGCAACTTTATTAACACTATAAACTTATATATACTACTATATACTTCTATAAACTTCTATAAACTTATAGAGTATATTATATATAGCTACGCTAACTAAAGGCCTATATAAGATTAAGCTAATTAATGCTAGTTAATAGATATTTATTAGTAGTAGTATCTACTTAGCTGTTGTAGCTGCTATAAGCAAGGTTAGCGTACTTGCTAATGTTAACAAACCTATTATAACTATTACTAGGCGTTACTACTAATGTACTATAAGGTAGAGACGTTAGAGTATAAATATACTAAGCGTTAAAAGCATTAACGTTAGCCTTAAGACTGTCTATACTATTCTATTAGATGTCTGCAGAATTATATATTCTACTGCTAGCGTTAATAGAAGCGCGATAGCTAGCATACCTATCTAAGAATAGGTTCTAACTAAGAAAGAATATATTATAAATAGCTCTATCGCTTGTGTACTTGCCTAACATAGATTCTCTATACTAACGCTTAAGTTTAGTGTAGAGTTTACCTAGATATACGTTATAAAGAGCTTACTACTAGAATATAATATTAAAGTTATGCGTAGAGTTCTTTTAGTTGTAGAGGTTAAGCTTGCAACTATAGTTAAGGTGCTTAAGATGTAGATTAATAGCCTTAAAGGTAGACTGCTGCCTATACTAGTTTATAAGACCTAATAATAATATTAACTACTAGAGAATAGGCGTATTTGCAGAGAATAGACACTATTAATAATATAGTATCTCTCTGCTATAGTTATACTACTTTACCTCTAAGAACATAATAATAAGAGAATCTACTAAGCGCTGTAGCATACTAATATTACTATACTTAACTATATAGCGTAGTGTTAAGAATAGCTTAACCTTCTATAAAAGCTAATATATAGTATAGAAGTTAACGTCTAGACTAGAAGACGTCTAAGCTAACAAGATAAAGGTAGTAGATTAGACGTCTTTAACAAGCTCTATAAATTACAGCGCTAATAGGCAGAATATAGCATTTCTAACTACCTCGCGCTAGAGATTCTACTTAGTATTAACTAGTAGTAGTCTATAGTCTCTTATAGCTGCGTAAAAGAGTACTCTAACTTATAAAGTAAATCTCTAGGTAATAACTAGCTCTATTAAGTAGTACTTTACGTTGTCTCTAGTACTATATAAATAGTTTTAATACGTTATGTTAGTAATAAGAGAGTGTACAGTATAAAAACTAGAATTAGCTACCTAATAGGTATAGATAATAGTAGCTAATAAGTTTATCTAGACGTAGAACTAGGTAAAAAGTAGTTAAATCTACTACTATCTATTATATAGTAGCTCTGCGCGACGCTGCTTCTGTAAAGTAGACTATATATAGTTAGTAGTAAGCTAGTTTCTATAATATAATATAAGGTAATAAGTAAAGTTATTAACTTTGCTAGGCTTATTAGCAGCCTTTAAGCCTAACTAACGTAAGAATATATCTTTATATATAGCATACGTGCTCTTAATAGTGCTCTTATTTTATAGAATGCTAGCAAATTACTAGTACTAAGTAACGTAAGGTAGTAACTATTTAATAACAGAGAAAGCTAGATAGAAAGAGTTACTATTGCAATTAAATACTACCTTTACGCTCTCTAGATATAAGCGTTAGACTATATTAGTAATAAGTAAGCTAGATACATAACGCCTAATATTATTACCTCTAGTTAACGCTAGACTAGTTACAATATTATAGAGAGAAAAAGGTATAGACAGATTATATATGTCTTAGGTAAGTTTATTAGCAGGTAACTTATTACATATAATAAAGGCTGTATTAGTAAAAGCTTAATAGCTTGCTATATAACTAGTGTTCTTATATTATTTGTAATCTATAAAGTTAATGTTATTATATATAATAACTACATAGAGATTGTGTACCTGCGCTTATAATTAACTCTACTACTAGAGTTAATAAATAATATATAAATAGAAGGTTCTAGAAGATTATAGAAGTTTTAATAATATTATAGAAGTTTATATACTAGAAGAAGTTATATAAAAAGAGTGCCTTACTTACGTAAGTTAACTAATCTTGCCTATTCTACTATTAATATAATAGTATGTATAGTACATACTAAAGCTAGCAAGAATCTTAATAACGTGTTAGTGTACGCTAGATCTCTATAAATAGAGACTAATATAGGTAGGTAGCGTGTTTAACCTCTTTTTTGCGCGTAAGAAGCATACTACACTAGTAATAAAGTAGAGTTACTGCTATAGCGCCTTATAGTTTTTTAAGGCCTTCTCTTACCTCTTGTTTTCTAAATAGTAAAGAATAAACGCGTACTAGGTAGGTACGCGTTTCTTAATAGCTTGCACAGCAGTATAGTAATTAACTACGTTAATACTTATACTAGCTTTAAATATGCTAAACGCCTTCTCTTCTATAAGTTATAATAACTTATACCTATAAGCTAATAGTATATTCTTACTATAGATGCTGTAATCTAACTATAAAGTGCGCACTACCTTAAGCAGCGTCTATTATTATCTCTTATAACTACTAGCTCTTATACTATCTATTATGTGCTGCTCTATTACTTACGCGTAGATAAAGTTCTAGAATAACTATCTATATTATTAAAAAACTTTAACTACTTAAGTTAACTTACGCTGCGTAGATACTTACTATATATATAGGCGCTAAGTATAATAAGTCTATTTACTAGTATTATCTTCTATTATAGTCTCTTTAGTAGTATTTATTAACTTATTATTACTGCGCTTGTTATAGGCTTTATTCTGCCTATACCTTAGATATAGCGTAGGCGTATATATTTAACTAAGGTATTATAAGCTTAGAGACTAGAGAAAGAATAGTAGTAATAATATAAGTATTAATAGAGAAAGTAACACGTAAGTAGGCAAACTAAGCGCAGCAATAATAGACATTTTAGATATAGTTAAAAGAGCGCAACAAGCGCTATTAAATAGTATATCTAATGTAATAAAGTAATATTATAGTATAGGTAAAGTATAGAGTTAAAGTAATAATAGTGTATTATTATAACGCTAAAATTTATATTACTAATATTAGTGCTATTTTCTCTTAGACGCTCTACAGAGATTTGCGTTTAAGCCTACTTATTAGTCTAGAAGTTTTATAGTATTTAATACCTTTATTTCCTAGGCTATAATTAGCTTAGCAGCTTTAAGGAGTTTTTAGCGCTGCGCTAGCGCGTTAGCGCGGCGCTAGCGCAAGGGTTGAACGCACAGAATCTCGGAGGAGCGTATGATTTATAAGATAACTGTTCCTGCATCTTTGCCAGCTCGTCACGGTAGATGTAGTCCTCCTGGTTCCGACATCCGAAGAACAGCAACATCTTGCCAATCGGCCTACCAATCGCATGCAATTTGGTGCGCTCCTGGAGAAACGCACGGAAAGGAGCAAAGCCGGTACCAGCGCTGACCATGATCAATTGCGTCGAAGATGTGATGGGCAGCTTGAACTTCGACTTCCTCACGTGCGCGAGAACTGTTTGGCCCTGGACATCTCCACTTCCGACTGAGCGGTGATAGGTGGGAATTGGCGTATTTCCGGCCGGGCGAAGATTGGATGCCGATAAGAGGTAATTGGACGTCAGGCCAGGAATATTGGTTGTTGACTGGTCTTCAGTCGTGATCGTCTTACTGACTACTAGTGCGGTGATTGCGATGCGCCGGGGAGACGTTACGGAGCTCGAAGAGATGGAGTAGTATCTCGGCTGAAGCGGCAGCAAGTTATCGATAACGAAAGCGAGCGGTATCGAGGTCCACGCAGCATCAGGGCTGGCAAGCTCGAGCAGCCGAGCGAACGTGACGTGTGCAGAAGACGTGAACCGCTCGTAACGCCCACGGTCCTGCGCAATGCCGAGGAGCTTCGATTTGGCTTGAGGGGTGGGCGCAAACTGAGCAACGTCGAGCACAGCCTTCCGAGCCACAGGCGCGCAAACCTCTAGATGATTGCGGAAAGCTGTCTCGAGCGTGCACGGCGACGGTATCTTTGGCTTGTCGGAACCGCTCTTCGGTGCTACGGTGAGGCAGTCGTGCCTACGGCCTTGCAAGCCCAGGATGTCGAGCAGTCGGTTGACTTCCTCCTCAGGGTTGACGGGCCAGATGCCGATATGATCCCCAGTCTTGTACACGATGTCCGTATTGCCCAGATCCACTTCCAAGTGCACGCAGTTGCGATCCCCCGACACGAACAACTCGCGGGAGTGTTTGATGGTCAAAGGAACTATGGCTGAGTTCAAGGCAGATCGTTGGTGGTGCACCGAGGTGACGGAATTTGCTTCGGGACCAGGGCTCACGGCGGCGAGATCAACCCTCATCGTCGGCTCGTAAGTGACAGCCTTCTCTTCGAACCCCATCTGAGCAAGCAGAGTGAAGACATCATCTTTCCATGCTTGATAGTCCTCCTCTGTGCCACCATTGGCATCGTCGGCTCTCTGCCGTGGCATCAGCGCAGTAGCGCCTGCAGTATCTAAGGCATCGGCGACAACATCGAGGACCCTGTTGTAGTATTTGTAGTTGCTATTACCGAGACCGAATGCCAGGTATCGCAAGCTCTCAAGCCGAATGTTGTCGTCGCCTAGCCGCTTGATCCACTCCCAAAGGCCGGTAGTGTTGTCGCTCGGATCGCCTTCGCCATATGTGCTCAGGATGAAGATGGCGAAATACTTGTTCTGGATCCTCGCAATACTTTCGGCATCGTAATCGGATAGGTCCGCAACCAAGGCATTCACTCCATAGCGCGCGCCGCACTCTCGGCCCAGGCTCTCGGCGAGGCGCTCTGATGTACCAGACTGTGAGCCCCAAAAGATGACGCAATGGTAGCCGCCCTCGTCGAGGCGTTGGCAAACGTCGCGCGTAGAATCGGTCTTCCCGTCTGAGAAGCCCTCTTCGACCTGTGGTCTCTCAAAATACACCTATAATAACAGCATGGTCAGTAATGCTGTGACATCAAGGATGCAAAGTCGCGTGGAGATATTCTCCTTACATGGTAGTTCGGGTCTGGCTTGTCCCAAATGCGACCACGAGTGATGTACCCGAGCGATGTAAGAAGAAATAGAAATGCAGCTAGTCCGTCTGCTGCAGTCGAGGGCTTCAAACTGCTGAACACCGGTGTTGTGCTGAGTGCTTGCAGAAGAGGATTGAGTTGTGACCTCAACTCTGACATGTCAAGTGGTAAAGCAAGTGAATCCATGATAACAGAAGGAAGCAAAATAGCCTCCAAAGGTTTGACAGGCTGAGGCGACGATATAGCCAGGGAGAAGCAAATGGTATCCTTCAACTAGTCAAGAGCACGTGGGCCACTGATGACAGCCGCACAAGTACTTGCACCAACCCATCGTTCTCGGGCATGACTGCCAGACCTGATTTTTCGATAACAACCAAACATTTATGGGCACGACGCTTTCGGTAGTCCGTTGTGATGCTTGAACGCTCGTGGCAGTGCTGATCATGACGCGAGTAAACTATGGCATCCCCGCGTTACCCCACACTTTAGCTGTCAGTTGGTGTCCACGCGTAGTTCCCGGTTTAACTTTGCAAGCCCGCATATACCGGTCGTAGCAATGCATTCCGCAATAGGCCGTCATTCTCCGAAGCATACCCTTCTTGGTAAACTTGGGATGCGGTCATCCACTTTTGCGGCTGCGTCAACGGGCAGTGAGATACCGCGACGAGCACTTAAGTAAACTTCCAATCGCACAATGTATACTATCACTACGCAAAGCTGCTGATGAGATTAATTTCAACGTCGCTGTTGTATTGATCGCGACTCAAGATGTCTCCAGCGGTCATTTCCATTCCGTATGCTGCTGCGCTAGGCGCGTGCGCTCTTTTCTACTTTGTTATTTATCCTGTAGTCGTTTACTTCCGCGATGTGAATGGTATGTCAGCCATCAAGTACAACAATAACATCGACTGACATCTCAGGTCTTCGGCGTTACCCAAACATGCACCCGCTCTCGGGCATATCTTCGATCCCGTTCATGGTGCTTGCGCACGGCGGAGCGCGGTCCACCTACCTTGAGAAACTACATCGAAAGCATCCAGTAATTCGTGTGGGCCCCAACTTCCTCTCGTATGGCGACCTTCGAGCTGTAAAAGATATCTACGGTCATAACACTCCCTGTACCAAGGATGGATCGTACGTTGTCACTGCAGGCTCGCATTACCATCTTGCGGATGCCATCGACAAGCATGATCATGCGCGGAAGAGGAAGTTGATGAGCTCTGCGTATGCAATCAAGAATCTGGAGGGCTGGGAGCACAAGGTAGCCGACAAGACGCAGAAGCTACTAAAGCACTTTGACGAGTGCTGCACCTCACCATTGCCTCCTGGACAGCTACCGAAGCCTGAGGACGTGAACCTCGACTATCGGAAGTGGACAAACTTCTTCACACTAGACGCTATCGCCGATATTGGACTTTCCGACAAGCTTGGATTCCTCGATCGGGGCCACGACAGGGTCACTGGACGGAGGACAGACGGCTCAACATATGAATGTGATTTCAGACCAGCACTTTACAACACAGCTCGGAAACAGTCGTTGTTGATCTGGCCATACGACTGGTATCCGCTCATCAACAAACTCTCGAACGTCATACCCTTCTACAAGCGCATGAGCGACTATGCGAACGAATGGGAGGGCTTACCAGTTCAACTCGCCCACAAGCGCCTGGAGCGGTACAGGGCAGGGGAGAAGCTCGACGACTTCTTCCAAACGCTGATGGAAGACAAGAATGGCCATCCGAACAATCTAGAATGGGGCGAGATCATCGCGGAAGTGAGTATCATGATGAACGCCGGATCAGCTACGACAGCGATTGCGATGGCCAACGTCATGTACCAATTGATCAAGCACCCGGATATCAAGATGAAGTTAGTGCAAGAGATCGATTCGGCACTGGAAGACGATGAAGAGGAAGGCGATGGGGTGGTCGCTTACGACAGGGTAAAACACCTACCATACCTCCGTGCATGCCTCGACGAATCGCTCCGGCTCTTCCCACCAACGCCCCATGGACTCCCGCGACAGACGCCAGCCGAGGGCGTCAACATCCTGGGTGACTACATTCCGGGCGGGGTCTCCGTTGCCATGTCTGCATATGTTGCGCATCGGCAGGAATCCGTGTTCCCGCACGCCGGCAAGTTCATACCGGAGCGCTGGTTGGGTGAAGAGGGCAAGGCTTTACAGCCCTACTTCCTGGCCTTCTCGGCGGGTGCAAGAGGCTGCATCGGACGCAACATCTCGTACCTAGAGCAGACGGTGGTTTTGGCGAGTGTGTTGAGGCGGTATGATTTTGCGCTGAGTAGTCCGAATTGGGAGCTTCAGCGGCTAGAGACGATGAATTGGATTCTAGGGGAGATGCCTGTGAAAATTTGGCGACGGAAGCGGACATCGGCCAGGTAAGAGTAGAGGTGTTTGGAGCTTCATAGATCTGCAGAAATCGTCAAATGTAACGGGTTATCGCAACGGAGAAGCCCATATTACTGAGTGTATTTAGTGCCCAGGTGTCACAGTGACGATGCGCAAATCTCGATCAGGCGTGCGCCGCGACCGTTCCTTTGCTCCACCTGCGCATAAACACCGAGATAGCGCCTGAGCTGATTGGCCCCCACACACATACTATTACTCCGCTGTGCAGCATACATAAACGGTCCTACTAGTCATCGCAATCAGATTCATCTCCATCTCGAATCGAGAATCCATCATCGCCTATGTCGCAGCCGCCTGTACCAAATCAGGCACCCTTGGTGCCTTCGGCGCCCGTGTCTGAACCCTCGCCAGCCCAACCTCGCCCTGCGCGTTCAAAAAACGGCTGCAATGCGTGCAGGTACGCGGAAACTCTTCGTTACTCCCCACCAACGCTCATCGACATAGGAGGCGGAAAGTGCGATGTAATGAGCAGAGGCCCAGATGTGGACACTGCGAAAGACTGAATCTCGATTGCACTTGGAACCGCACGCCGGCTCGTAGCACTACCAATCCATCCCATTCATTCAGCACTGGCCAGCACCAGCCCTTCTTTTCTGGTCCACTACCCTTGGAAGGGTACGGGTTTGGTTTTGACCTATCTGGGCCATTGAGCTTGGGTACCTGGGACGAAGCCATGCTGTTGAGTCCCAGCTCATGGCCAACTGACACAGGGTCTTTTGCGAGCGTAGCAACACATTCAGACCCGGTTTCGCAGTCCATCCACCAGTCCCGGCCGACTCATAGATCTTCAAGTCAGACCCTGGGAGTAACGTCTTCCGCGAGTAATGAAGTGCATGAGCTGCCAGAGCGTAGACTTCACCAGCCTGATCCAGCTTCGACCTCGCCGTTCTCTACCGAGGGCGCGTCGAATGGACCGAACGAAGATTACCTCTTGCACACATTCCTCCAGATGCTCATGCCACCCATCCTGACGCCGGTGGAAATTGGTCCCAAATGGGCATCTACTCGGGCATTCTTTGCCACTTTGGCTGCAGAGTCACCCATCGTCAAGAGTGCCATCATGGCTTTCGCCGCGATGCAGATGCAGCGCAGTGGGCTGGGCAACGACATGGCCAAGGCAGACTGGAGGCCTTTGTATGATACCGCATCCAGACAGGTAGCGAATTGCCTAGCAAAGACGCGAGTAGTCGAGGACAGTGACCTCAGACACATGCTCGCTGCTCTTTTTTTGCTTACTTATACCGATCTTCTTACGGAGATGCTGCCACGAGCCCACACGAACTTACGCGAGGCCTATACACTTATAAAAAGTGTCAGCAAGACCACCTTCTCGGCACCGGAACGTCGACTCATCTCATGGATGCGCCTACTTGACGCGCGCGCTGTGTCAACAGCAGGTGGAGAAGGTCTCTTCTTGGCTGACACAGACGAGACCATTTTTGATGCGTCGCCTGCGGCCAATCCCGGGTCAGATCCGGACACGTCGGACACCGAAATCGAGGAAATTCTGTTTGACGTGTTATATCATCCCGGTATCATGTTCTATCAGAAGGTGCAGTCCTTCGCCGGTCGCATCACACGCATTGACCCGTGGCGTCGTACACGCGGCACGGTTCAGGATGAGACTGAAGTGATGGCCATCGCAGCGCAAATCTCCAAGGATCTACATGCACTTTACGGCCAGCGACCAGCATTGATGGATCATGCGGTTGCTGGAAACCTCACCGAAAAACACATAGCCAAAAACTTAGCAGGCGCACTCACACGGAGTTTCCGGACCTATCTCGCAAACTACTACGCATCGTTCATACACTTACATCGCGTTGCATACGTGCAGTACCCAAAAACCAAGGATGTTATTAATGCCATAATGAATATAAAGCGTCTGACACATCTGATGGCGCAGGCAGACGAGTCGCTGCCGGTCAATGTCTTGTGGCCACTGATGATGTGGGGGTGCGAAGAAGACGACTTGGAGGAACGAAGATGGATCATTGAAGCCATCCGCAGTCTCGAGAGCATCGCTACCAACGCAAAAGCTACCGCAGACCTGTTGGAAGAAGTGCAAAGACGGCAGGATGAAGGCAAGCGAAGAGTCGACGTGCGTTTGGTCAGCCAGGAGTATTTCGCATCATCAAACCATTTCGCAATCGTGTAGTGTTCAGTCCAGCTCCAACACACACATTGAAGCTCACCAGAAACACGCGGCCGAATGTCAGTCGCAATTCTGTTGGTTTTTTGCAGGTATCGAGCGACAATTTCGGCGTAAGAGAATACGGGAAGCCTTGCCATTTACAGGTCAATGCGCGTATACTTGTCATTTCCGGCTCAGACCTTTACCAATCAAACTGCGCATTACGTTCCAAGCTTTCCTCCATCGGAAGATGCCCCGCAAGCTTCCAGACTTAGGACGTTGCATACGAAGCGGGCGGGGTAAGTGACCCGAAAGGAAAACCGACAAGATGGGATCGATTTCCCGGCTCAACGTAGCAACTCCATCGTTCACAGTCCTCGGGCCTCCGACCTCACGATGAGACAGAGAAGCGGATGGTTAGTCAAAGCCGCGGGATTGCCCGCATATAGAATTTTGCTGATTGCTCAACAGCAAAGCTTGTCGTGAGCGTCACATCAAATGTACGGGCTCTTACAATCCAATGCCATCCAAACGCTTAATGTAGGAATTTACAGGCGTGAAGCTGCGTGACTCGGAAAAATGCAAATACTGCACCGAGCGCAAAAAGCCATGCATTCGCGGCAATGCTTTTCGCTTCCGACCTGTTACGGCGGTCAAGTTCAACGCCGGCGAAGACATAGGATCCGCTGAACAGTCCCTCGAGTTCCAGGTGGGACAGCAGTGGGTTGATATTCCAAGCTCATGTGCGTAGAAAAAATTTCGTGAATAGCGATAATCGCTGATGAAAAGTGGTGTAGTGCACTTTGTTGAGCCGAACAAGGACAGTGGTGACGAAGAAGAGTACGAAGCTGGGCCGGAAAGCGAAGCGAATCCCGAAAGCACGCCCAACACTCTCAACGTTGCATCAAAAGCCCGGCGGCAAAACTCAAATTTGAACAGAGTGTCTAGCGAAAGCCAACTGGCGACGACGTACGGTGACCTTACCACGTTCGTGGACCTTCCAACTTCGGAGTTCAACGACACTAGCGAGTTACCTTCCATCCACGAAGTCCTCAACACTCAGGTCCCACCGTCTCTAATTGGTGTCACGAGCGGTACCAGTAACAGTGCGCCGCACAGCATTCGCGCCGTGTCTTCGATAAGTCAAATAGTAAACACAAACTGGCAGGCAAGCCCCGGATCACTTCAACGTCTGTCACAGTCCCCGAGTCTATCGAAGAAGAGTCCTTTCGGATCGATCAACAATAATCACTCTCCTTATAACTCCACAGCATTCAGTCCTTCCTCAGCGCCAACACTCAGGTGGCCCGTGAACAACGCACACGAAGCCCGTCTCCTCCATCATTACCTCTTCTTTTGCACCTCGTGGATCGATGTGTGTGACTCACGGCGGCACTTTGCTACTGAGGTACCAAAACGCGCAGCCCACTTCCCCGTCATTCTCAATGGCATACTGGGTGTTGCTGCAAGACACTCCTGGCTGATGGGCAAGGCCGTAGAAGACGTGTCGCAACCTTATGTAGATCAGTGCTTACAGGCGCTAATCGTAGCACTTGAGGACCCGCTGGCACATTGGGATGAGAACTTCCTCATAGCCGTTATCCTGCTTCGGCTTCACGAAGAGATGGGCGATGCCGACGAACACTGCCACCACCTCGTACGTTCTCTCGCCCTTGAGCTTGACTATATATCTTTCCTGACCACATGGTGATCTCAGGGTACCGCTCGTATACTAAACAGTATCTCCTCCTTCGCCGCAGACGGTGGCCTCCGCGAATCAGCATCCTGGGTCTCTCTCCGCCAACACATCTACGTCTCTCTCACGACCCAAAAGCCACTCAACCTAAGCCTTGACAACTACCGCCACTCCGCTGTCTTCAGCGAATTCGACGACGAAAGCTGGGCGAATCGCATCATATTCCTGTTCGCCGTCGTCCTGCAAACTGTCTTCGGAGGCACAAACAATGGCAGCGAAAACATCAGCCGCGAAACATGGAAAGAATTGAACGATGAAGTCGAGGAATGGGAGCGCACGAAGCCTTGGACGTTCTCGGCTTTCCACGTCGAACCCGATGCGGGTGACAAGTTTGAGGCAAGCTGGCCTGAACTGCTCTGTCCGCAGGGGATCGTGGCAGTCGGGCTGCAGTATTACCACCTTTGCAAGATACTGCTCACGATATACTCGCCTAATGCGTCATTAGTCGGGTTGGCAGGTGTTCGGGCTAGGAAATCTACCGACGCGGCTGTTCGCAAGCACATGAGGATAACGATAGGGTATGGCGTTAGTAACAGTCATTGTGGTAATGCTATGTTCCAGGGTAGTCACATTCTGAGTGCATGTGGAGCTTATATCATCGATCCGCGGGAGCAGCAGGCTTGTGTGGAGTATCTGGAACAGCTGCAGAGACTGATAGGGTGGAGGACGGATGGCGTCTTGAGGGATCTTAGAGAGCAATGGGCGTTTTGAGGTGACAACACAACAACTGAGAGGAGGGCTTTGTCTGGACACTTCAGATGTCCGAAGGGGAGCACTTTGATATTTCAATTCTTCATTGCGAAGCAGCATTCTATAGCGATGCTTCCAGCTCATCAAGACCTGACACCTGGTTCACAACCCATTTCCTCTTCTCCTCATCCGTGTATCGTGGGTAAGGTCTACGGCAGTCCGCACTGCTCTCTGGGTATCCCCTCTTATGCGCAACGACGTACTTGGTGCCGTTGATGCCACCCTTTCCGAACCCCCATTCTGTGACCGAGAGCTTGATCTGGAGGGCTGATGCTTCGTCGTGCTTGCCTGATTGGTAGAGGTTGAACAGGTGTATGCAGGACTGATTTGTTAGCTTCCAAAACACGCAAAACGTTGGCGATAGTACATACCTTGGGGTACAAGTTCGCGACACCAGTAATGGTGCCGATTCCACCCACACTCAGCGCGGGTACAAGCCAGTCGCTCTGACCGGCCAGCGCCACAAACTCCGACTTGTCGAACGCAGCACTAATCCTCGCAACTTTTGCGATGCCTCCGCACGTGAGCTTGACGGCTACAATGTTCTTGTGCTTGCCGAGGATATCCAGCATCTCGGAGTTGATGTCGAGGCCGGCTACGACGTTGGGGAAGTTGTACAGGACGATGGGGACGGGGGATGCGTCGGCTAGTTCCTGGAAGTAGGCTACGATGGCATCCTGGTTCATGGAGAAGTGGAAGTAGGAGGGCACCAGTGCGAGGTAGTATGATGCGCCTGCTTCTTTTGCTTCGGCGGTTTGCTGTATCGCATCGCGTGTGCAGCCTGCTACGCCTCCAATTGTGATGGGTAGGTCTCCGCGACCGAGGCGCTGTGCCGTCTTGCGAGCGGTTTGGACGAGTTGTGTCTTCTCGGCTGAGGATAATGTTGCTGCTTCGCCATTTGTTCCTGCGATGACGATGCCGTGCAGACCGTTGGAAATCAAGAACTCGAAATGCTTTTCTTGGACATCCCAGTCGATCTCTTGCTTGGTGTCATTCTTGAACCAAGTCAATGAGGGGACATGGATTCCTGGTGGGAAGGAGTATGTTGTTGTGCCGTTGGTGCCGTTTGCGGAAGGCATTTTGTGAGGATGTCAAGAGATGAGCAGATACAGAGGGGAACTGAATATGGAGGACATCTCTGCAGCAGAGCGAAACCGCCGCATTTTGGCATCCACGACTGCGCGACGCGTTCCGGTAGTACGATGGAGTATGCGAGAAGACGCGCTTCGGCGTGGAGACGTGTGGATGTTCCATCGGCTCTCAAGGCGCGCGATTCGCCGTCGGCTACGACCGCAACGGTGACGTTGGGCTGCCGACGCTCGCATCGCCAGCTTCGCGTGTCGGATGCACTAGGCCCACGAGCTCCCACACCACGCCACCGAACCCACGCGACGAGAGTGCGCCATCTCTGGAGACTCCACTGGGGAAGGTCGTGGTCGGATGTGGCAACCTGGTTCTCCGTCCCGGAATGGCCTGGGTGTTTTGTGGGGAAGCGCGTTTGGTTCAAAAGAACGTGGGAGCCCCAGGTTTGGGATCGGCATCAAGACTACTGCAGAACTCTGCAGCTTCAACATCCGTCCGGTAACCTGAACATTGTTTGTTCTGGTGAATAGTCATCATGGGTGGTTTTGCTCGCGCCCCCGAAGACAGGCCAACGCCTCCGGAAGTTGTAAGTTCTTGTGCTGAGCGATGGTGAGATGATAAGGTGCTAATGTAGTCTATAGTACAATTGGAGGGTCTACATGGCCGCGCTCGTGATCTCGATGGGCGTTTTGGCTTATGGTTACGACTCTGCCTTTATCGGCACTACCATTGCCCAGGAGTCCTTCCAACGAGACTTTGGCATCAATGCATCGAACAAGAACGAGATCACCAGCAACATCACCTCCATATATTCGGCTGGAGGACTCGTAGGAGCGCTGCTTATGTACCCATTCCTTGAGCTCCTTGGTCGCCGTGCGACAGTCATCATCTCCGATGCCATCTTCATCGTTGGCGCGATCATGTGCACTGGTAAGCAATCTTTATCGATATGATATCTGTGCCAGTACTAACCGTGTCTCTCAGTCCCCAAGAACCAATTAAGTCTCGTCCTCGCCGGGCGGTTCTTCACTGGCATGGGTGTAGGAGGAATAGCCGCTGTGTCGCCCATCTACATCGCCGAGATCTCGCCTCCTGCTATTCGTGGACGCCTCACTGGGTTCTTCGAATCTTTCTACCAAACGGGTGCCGTTATCGGATTCTGGATCAACTACGGCATTGTACACAATATGGACCGATCAAAGTCCATCGCTTGGAGAGTGCCTATGGCTGTTCAGCTCATCCCTGCCGGACTGCTAGCTCTCATGATACCGGTTTTGAAAGAGTCTCCTACCTGGTTGCTGAAACGCGGTCGCGAGGCTGAGGCCTTGAAGTCGTGGAGCTACTTCCGTAACCTACCCGAGGACCACCCATACATTGCCCAGGATGTTCAATACGTGCGAAATGAGATTGCGAAAGAGCGTGCCGCACTTCTACATGGCGAGGCGCATGCTAGCTTCCTCACAACGATCAAGGCTGCAGCACGCGAAGGAGCCATGCCAGGAATGCGGAATAGATTCCTCTTGGTATTCCTCATGTTCATGTGGCAAGCTTGGAGTGGTGCCGCGGCAATCAACTACTACTCTCCAACCATCTTTACATCCATCGGATTGTCCGACGTAACTCTCTGGACCGGTATCTACGGAATCATCAAAGCTGGAGGTTCCATCATCTTCTTCACCTGGTTCATCGACATGTTTGGACGCAAGTGGCCTTGGATCATCTCTTCCTTGATCTGTGCTTTCTGCCAGTACTACCTCGCCGTCTACATCGCACTAGGAAAGCCGACAGTGGGCGAGCCCATGTCCGAGTCTACAGTCGCTGGTGGCAAAGCTGCAACCGCTATGATCATGATCTTTGGTGCTGCCTGGTCATTCGGTGCGAACGGCCTTCCGTGGATCATCTCTAGCGAAATCTTCCCCGCATCTATGCGCTCTATATCGGGACCATGGGCAGCAGCATCCGTATGGATATGGACTCTGGTAGTCACCAAGGTAAGCACCTATCAGTCGCACGTAATAGATATACTAATCTAGTTTTAGGCCTTGCCGCAAATGTACACCTCGATGGAATGGGGCGTATACGTCTTCTTCGCCACCGCGCTTATTTGCGCTAGTATCTACGCCTTCTTCTTCATCCACGACACCAAAGGACTGCGCATGGATCAGATGGATCAGTTGTTTGGTTTTGAGAAGCGCGAAGAGTTCATTGTGCAGGCAGATGGGAAGAACGCCGATTACGAGAGTGAGCACCACGAGAAGGCGCCTGTGCAGCGGACTGAGGCTGTTTAATTGTAAGAAGTATTCTAGTGATATCCATGTATTCAAAGCGTTGTACGTCTACGGCAGACGTTCAAGTCATTTTCTGTACGTAATGAGTGAAGCACAAATTCCTCTCGCGCTCCGTCCCCAACACAACTATACAGCCCAGTCTATCGATTTTCAAAGCAGTCTATGAGATCAGCAATTGTCGTTTCGGTTCGTGCAACGTAAGCAATATACGATGCGCGTTGACTTATATCGTGGGAAGCGCGTGTCACATAGGCTAAATCCTGCCTTACTTTCGAACAGTCTGTCGGGTCGTTGAAACCCAGGCTGAGCCCTGACCTAACCCGTTTTGACAGCGATCCCAGCAGCTCGTTAGATATAGCTCCTATATGTAGGCAAGTGTAATGCCGATTGCAGCATGGTACTACATATTGGGATCTGACCTGACGGCTCCTTCAGCCGCAACCGAAGAATTGATGTCGAAGTGCCACGATCACGGCAAGAAAAGGCGGTATTTAGTCTACTAGGCAGGAAAAGGATGGTTGAAGAAGAGCATAAGACGTGCAAGTTTCTAGCCTAATGTCTTCCTCTTTGTAGTCTCAACACACCATGCCGTCACTCATGCTCTCATTCTTACTCGCTCTCTTCATCACACTCACCGCAGCCGCCCTCCCACCAAAAGGCGCCGTCTCCCTGACAAGCCTGGACATCGACCTCGATGGAAGTGGCTGCAGGCCCGGCGACGCCAGCGTCATGCTCGCCTCCGACAACTCCGCTTTAACCATCATCTTCGACAACTTCGCCGCTTCCGACGGACCAAAAGCAGGGACTGCAAAGACACGCGCCTTCTGCAGAGTGAACATAGGCATGAACTCGCCGGGGTGGGCGTTCGATGTTAGCTCGGCCGATTTCCGAGGCTATGTGTATATTGAGAAGGGTGTTGAGGCTAGTTTGGTTAGCCGGTGGAAGTGGATCGATGTGAATGGCGTGGATATGAAGGGCAAGGTGTGTGGTTGTAGTGGCTGAAAGTGTTGTTAGAGGTACTGACTTGAAGGATAGGGCAACATCCATAAGATTGTAACAGGGCCATTCGAGGAAGACTTCCTGTTGCACAAGGACGGTGAGATATCAGATACGGAGGCGTCGGTGTGCCAGAAGAAGGATGCGAGGATTCAAATTAGTCTCTCTGCGACGGTAGATTCGGGTACGTCGAACAAGAACGGTTACGTGCAGGGGAGCTCGGTGGATGCTGGGTTCGGCCAGATACTCAATCTGTCGTGGAAGAAATGCTGAGGTAACATGTTTAATTTGGGGTATCAATTTAAGGGCCAAAAGAGAAAGGTGTCCGTCTTCATCATCGCATCACAGCACTTGTTGCTGCTCCGTGAGAAGATCGGACTGACGTAGTCCTACTACGCCTTGGTGTATGCCGGCAAGTCTTCAGACTGTGCCTTGGCAGCAGCCCTCGCCTTCCTCCTCTCCCTGCGGTCCATCTCCCTTGCCACCGCCTTGGCCAGCTTCCTGCGCTCCTCGCGCTCCTTCTGCTTCAGAATATCGCCCTTGCCCTTGCCCGACCAGACCTTCTTGAACTCCTTGCGGAACTTCTGGTTGAAG